ATACAATACAGTAGCGACAACGGACCGATGACAAGGGACTGAATTTTCGTATCTTGTCATGACAACGGACAAAAATTGAAATAAATCAAAATTTTCAGTTTTAATCTGTTCTCAATTTTTCTGTAAAGGCTTACATCATTTCTTGATACTGTCTGCACTAATTGGTGTGTATATTATATTCTATTTACGAAAAATATAACATCTCAGTAGGAAAACGAATCAAATCCACAAGTGATTTCAACAGAGTTAATGTCGCCAACGCAAACTCTTCTTTTCTTACTTGTTTTTAACGGCTGAAATTCATACAGCACCTAATAGGGTGTCAGCCCTGTTTCCCATTGCAATCTTAGACATCTTAGATACAGTACCGACTGGACACAACCTAACACCAGAGCGAACCCAAAGCGCACCCCGGGTTCGCTTCCTGGGTTCGCCCGGGTCCGCAGCGGGTCCGCTTTCAAAAATTTTGGGACCGTTCTGGGTGCGCTTCGGGTTCGCTCTGCGTTCACTCGGGGTCAGCTCTGGGTCCGCTAGAGCGAACCCGGCGTTCGCTTCCCGGGTTCGCTTTACGCACTCATGCGTGAAGCGGACCCCGCTTTAATCTTGCCGCCAGTAAGTCCCGCCCCTTGTATATTTCAAATACAGTAGTGAAATCGATCATTACTGTTTTTATGGCGATCGAAACATGTACATGTAAGTGAAAATATGGAGAACGTTGATAATTTTCAAGAATTCCACCGTACATTCGACGTAGAATTATCACTTTCATTTTTCTTAACTTACAAGCTAAGTATATCTCGAAAGAAAAAGAAGAAAAGGTGTTAAATTTATTTCCGATGTATCGGATGGAGTGAAATTGATAAGAGTATCTTAATAAAAAAAACGAAAGATTTCAAATTCATTTGTTTACATTATTCATGCGTTTTAAGATAAGTTGGAACTTCCAATTGTAATTGAAATTGCTAAATCGTAATTTAAATGTTTGAAAGACAAACAACTGAATTATGATCTTATCTATGAAATAGCTGAGACATACTGTACACGTAAAATGCTAAGTTTTCATTTTTGGCAGTTTATATTTAAGCTAGGTTGTCGTCCATTACATGTATATGTAGGTCGTGATAATCGCTAAAAATTCTCATACAGTGTAACTTGATTTTCTATTTACAGATCATTTATAATTTACTTCCGTGCTATAAGTCATTGTTTTATAAGGCGAGTTTAACGGAGGACTTATAAAAAAAAACAACAATCAAAAAAGCAAAACAAACAAACAAACAAAAACTAATAACTGGTCCACTGATAAGAATATATTATTTTTTTTAAGTTGTTTTCAAATACATGTAAATGATCATTTGAATAGTTTGTGCTCCTTACTGGTTCATGACCCCCCCCCCCCCCCCCCACTACATACATGCATACATGTACATACTGGAGCGGCATGTTAACAAACAAAATTCTAAATGCATAAAAATAAATAAAAACAAGAAAGAAAACAAACAAAACAAGAATTCAATAACTGTAAACTCGCATGACTAAGTAGATGAAATTATGATAAAAACGTTTTTTTTTTTTTTGTTTGTTTTTTTGTTTTGTTTTTTTTTTGAGCCCCAACCCCTCTCCGTACTCGAATTGTTTTCTATGGGCCGGTTGTAGCGATTTTAATCTCAAATAATATACAGTGTTCTCTCTCTCTCTCTCTCGTAAAGCTATTTTACTAATTTCCAGCAATTGCTCTTAGCACCCGCAATATCTTCGAAACAGGTGGATGATTACCGACACGTGATGACCGTGGCTTCACTTTGAAACTATAATTATTAAAGTGTTAAAATTAAATAATTATGACAATTACAAAGTTCAAATACAGGTACCTATGTAATGAAAAAATATATGTACGTTTCGTATTAAGGTATATTTGCAAGTTCAATTTACTAATGTTGGAATTACGTGCATGTACTTTTCATGCACAAGTAAAAAACGTACCCGTCTAGTATTTTTTTTTATACCCATATAAAGTATTTCGAAAATTACATGTAGTACATGTAAGAGGTTCGTGAACATGTAAACCTGTATAATTATATATATCGACGCGAAAGAAAGTGATAAGCATTTTTGCGTTTTTTTTTTCTTTTTTGTTTTGTTTTGTTTTGTTTTTGACTGTCTTGCAAGTAGTTACAAAAATTCAAGAACATACAATAAAGTCTACATGTAGGATAATTAAAATTGACAAAATAATCTTTCCCTATATACAAGTATTTAAATCAAGCTATTTATTAAATTTTGGTAAAAGATTAAGAAAAAAAAAATATCATAGTACTTTAAAAAAATGAGATTTTTTTCTCCAATTTACGTATTGACATAATGCATATTTATACTGTACAATGTACATTTAATTTTTTTTCATGATCAATTATTAAGATCGATAATTTCGATGTTGATCTGGATAAATTAAAACGTACATATAAATTGAAATAATAAATAAAAAAATAATTAAATTAAAGCACATACATGTTCCTATACTGTATCTTGAGATAATAAAATTCTATAATTTGTCGAAGACCAGTTTTTTTTATTCTTTTTTTTTTTAGTAGCAATTGTTATATCCATTATCTTCTTTTTTTTCTATTATGAATTAAAGTACTTATTGTCTGACAAATTTACGCAATGTATATTTATATATTAATGGATTTTAAAAATATAAAGAAAATAAATATGTAACTATACTTCTAACATGCTACCTGGATAATAAAAATATATAATGTATTAATAGATTTTAAAAATAAAAAATAATGAAAATAGATGTGTAAATATTACATGTTGTCTGGGGAATTAAAATATATAAATGTAAAATCATGTTTAAAAATCATATTAAAAATATTTTTACACTGTACATTCACACGCTTTGCTTGTACAATGTTTAGAGTACAAACTGGCATGTTGACTGGTCGATGCGCTGATGGTCAACGCACTTTATCACTTATCCTGATTGAAAGACCTGTTTGGTATGTTGATTGGTCGACGCGCTGATGAGTTAATCGCTAATCCTGATTGACAGCTATGTTACGCAACACCGAACGCGCGTTCGCTTTCTCGGACCGCTACTGAATTTGGGGTTCGCTTTCAGCGTTCGCTCTGGGACCGCTCTGGGTTCGCTGCGGATTCGCTACGGGTGCGCTCCGGGTTCGCTCGGGGTCAGCACTAGCGGACCCCAAGCGAACCCGAAGCGAACCCAGAGAGCGAACCTGTAAAAGTTTATTTTCCCAAAATATTTAATGGTATTATTTTTGGGACTCGCGTAGTCCCTTTATCTGTGGGTCCTTTGGACCCATAGAAAATAATTCTGAATTTCAACACTGAGAAAGAGGGAGAACACTCCCCACCTGAAAGAGTTTTTATGCCCCTGTAATCGAAGTTTTTGCCCTGTCCTTCCGTCCGTTTGCCTATCTGTTTGATTGTCCGCAAAAACTTGGAACTATGGCTTTCATATTTTACATGTGTTTTTTTTCAGGTAACAAGACCTTTCTTCTGGTACCAACATATTAGACCTATTGTCCTTTGATTAGGGCCCACTTTTGCAAAATTTTACAAAAGTTAACCTTAGCAATAACTTTAGAAAAGATAGAGCTAGGGCTTTCATCTCCCTATCTGTATTCCTTGAGACAAGACCTTCCACTGGATACCAAGAATTTTGACTCTTTGACCTTGGAGTTTGACTCACTTTTAAAAAGTTTAACACTGGCAATAACTGTTGACCGATTAGTTCTAGGGCTTTCATTTCTAAGAGATGTATTCCTTGTGACAATACCTTCCATAGGATACCAACAATTTTGACCCTGACCTTGGAGTTTGACCTACTTTTGAAAAAAAATTAATCTTATCCGTAACTTTTGAACAGTTGGTGCTAGGGTTTTCATACATGTATATCACATATTTATTTCATATGACAAGACCTTCCCTTGATCATGAGTACCTTGGTCTTACTTTTCAAAAAAACCCCTAAAACTTTAACCTTCGCCAGAACTTTTCAACGGTTAGTGCGAAGTCTTTCATTGAGTGTGACTTGCATTTGAGAAACTTTAACTTTCGCCATAAGCTGCCATACGGGGGCATCAGTGTTCCACAAACAAATCATGTTTTATTATTATTATTATTATCATATATTATCATTATTTAGGGGTTTGTTTAATTTTTTTTTTTTTTTGTTGCTTCGCAAATCTTTTGGGCTGATATTCCTCCCACCGCGCCCAATTTGATAAATGATTAAAGATTCATTAACAATTATATTAATTTCCGAGAACATTCTCAACTTGTGTCTGCAAACATGGCACCTTTGCAATAGGTGAAGCCTTGTGATGTTGCATATTGTCACTGCAAATATTTATCGTCCATCGGTAGATATTGACACGAAGGACAATAAGTGCCAATGAGCCTTCTTTTCCCTGCAGAATAGGACAATATGTACCAAACATATTGGCACGTATTTTGGTCAGTTACGATGTCTTATTACAAAATTACAGAGTGCTAAATCTCAAGAAGTGTTCAACATAAAAATAAATTCTACTTGCATTCAAACCTGCTTAAAGCTTTCAAAATGATTGGATCGATATCGCTTTTGGAAAATCAGTCTCAATTTTCTTGAAGCATCTAGAACCTTATTGTACATTTTGCAAGTCAAACGTTATTACTCTAGATTAGAATCACAATCACAATATTCTTAGAGAATATTCTCAAATTTCAAATAACAAAATGTCATTAGAAACTACACATGTTGAGTCCCTAAGTTTAGAATGTACTGGGCTTTGATCACAATTTCAAAACATTATTACACATAACGTGTACATGATAAGACCGTTCATATACTAAAAGAGGTTTTTGGCTGCCTAAAATGTCAGGCGTGAAGCTATATCAAGAGTGTATGATAGATAAACTATAATGTATCCGAACTTTTAACATACCCTTTGTCTTCCAACAATTTTGCACGTACTCATAATGTTACTTACCATGCACTATTACTTCACATAACCCAGTAAAACTCTGAGTTTCGTAACCATCGGGATATTTAACATCCTTCAATCTTTCATTATAATAAATGACGTATCGTCCACGTTTCCAGCAAGTGGTGTTGAAATCCAAAGGGGGTAACTCAGGTCCGTCCTTGTAACAAAGAACCCAGTTTTTTTTATTGGTTGAGTTTGAAAGATAAATGGAGAATCCTGCAAACCGTCCCCTTTGTCTCATTACTGAAAAGAATATTTGAAAGACAATGAATTGATGTTAATTTAGCGTAGTTTATATCTGCGTAAAGAAAATCTACTAGCAACTCTTGAACTCGTTATTTAATAGATTTATTATTAGTACAGTGTGATTGCAGCCAGTGCAAAAGTACTCAAGTATTCATAGAATGTGATGTCGTCTATCGATAAAAGATATATCTCAATATTATTCTTAAGGATATCAGCAACAGTGCTGTACGCTGTGCACCTCATACGGAACAATGATAAGAAAAGCCTAACCTTTTTTATCATAACAATTTCATGTAAAATTGTGATATGATGGCAGGAAGTTATAAGAGAAAAATTAGCCATTAAAATTATTGATTAGTATCTTCTATTTCTCCGAAAGACATTGTACAATTTAGTATTTTTCATATCTTATAACTTTGCAATTGACAAGAAAGGTAATTAAAGATGATAGGAATTATACTGACCAATCATACAAAAAGCAGCATAGAATAAGTTCAAAACATTTCATATTTAGAATTAACAATCAAAGCAGAAACAAAAGTAACAGTTATAAGTTCTCAGAATCAGAGTTTGTTTTCAGCCCCTGCCTAGCGTTGCTTGCGATGGCGTTGTTTGAGAAAAGGACCTTAGAAAGGTTGACTAATAGAAATGCCCCTTTTCAAGCAGACTCCGGGCTGTTGATGAGCTGATCTTTTGATGATTGTAACTTTTAAGGGGTTTCAAGCTGTTAATTCAGCAGTGTTGAACCGGTCATGTAGATGCTGTAACTGGATGCTGCGGTCTTGTTGAATGTTAGTGACCCCCAGAGCAGCTGGCGTGCAATGATGAAATTTGTGACTAAATATCTTTGTCAACTGGGGAACATTATCGTACTGTGGTATCGATGGATAGAATCTTCAAGATCTGTCACAAGTACTTCTACTCTTAACATGTCAGGAGCAGGGTTGTGCTCATTGATAGAAAGGCATGGTAAATTTAAGTATCACTCTGTACACAATGTTTTCTGATTTTCATATTTAAATATGTTCCCTATTCTTTGTATACCCTTATTAAAAGAATGCCATTGCCCACAATTTTTGGTAACACGAACAAAAGGTTGGCTTTTATAACAAGAGAAAGCCCGTTGGTTGATTTCTTACTGTCCCATTTGTGTGTTCTTTTTTTTTTTTTTTGACTGTGTGAATCTCAAAGATGTTTTCCGTAAATAAAAAAAAATCCTGAAGGACATTGTATGAAATATAAAGATAACAAACACTGATCATGTTGAAAAGTCGATTTTAAAAATACCAACTGTGAGCAGAGCCAATACAGCCTGTGAAAACAGAGGAGGGATCAGATGCCATGCAGCAATAAACATCCCCCGTTGACCGGTCGCAACCACCGTTTCATGATCGGATGAACGGAAAATCCGTAGACAATTAAGAGTTAAAATAATGACAGTAATATTAAACTTTCGCAGTGCCGAGTTTTTTTTCTTTTACAAAGACTCTTTTAAACTGAGTTCATAAAGCGTATTTTCGTAGAAGTTGCACTATAGCTGCGGATACACTGATTAAAGAATTGCAAACGATAGTAATGTTCTGTCGCCTGCTTCGAAGTCAATTTTGAAAAGTTAACATATGTAAATTATTTCTCACAATTAGTCCTAAAATGACCATTTTTGCTGTACTTTGCAAGGTAAACGTATATCTCCCCTTATGAAAGAACAAAAGCTTTGGCATGAGTTTGCTTAATAACACTTTATAATACCTCTTAAAAAAAGTTTTTTTTTGTTTCACGGTGCGGGGATTTTTTAAAATCCGTTTTTCATTGATTTCTGTAGTGAATAAAGTTTTACCAAAAATAAAGGTATCTCTGTTTTTTCCAAAATAAGTTATGTTTGTGAAAATTCATATACATATCTACATGTATATAAATTACAGTATTTCACTATTGAAAATGTAATAAGGTAAAGCTTATGTTATAAATCATGTACCGTAGTTCTTGCCATAGTCTTTAAATTGTATCCTGATACTGTGAATACTGTAGATATCTCCAAGATCAACTCTCCACCAGACACTTGTGTTTGGGGAAGTCCCCCCGATAACAGTTGTCAGAGCACATGTTGATGAGTTTCTGTCAACTGCGTTTCTTGCAACAGACAAACTTCCGCATATTGCTGGACGAAGACAAGGGCTGGTTAAAATTTGACTGGAGGCTTTATTATAAGACAAATCATCTTAAAAAAAAAGAAATCATTTTGTTAGTTGAATCACTTTTATTCAAAATCAACTGATCTTGTGCGAATAAATGGAAATGATTTTTTTAACTTTTTTTTTTTTTTTTGCAAATTTTGAATAATGCTAAGGTTATTGTACTTAGTCTTCTGGATCAGTATTCTTGTACATGTACTCTGTATAGATTATTTTTATTTTATTTTTATGATAAATTAGATTGTGACGTCATAAACAACATATCATTCTGATTCCCCACTTACGTAGTTAAATTTTCAAAAGATGATAAAATTCCTCATTTACGAAAAGTATGTAGGCTTTGGAGACTATAGGTCTTCCAAAAATCTGTTGAAATTCAATGGGCATAAATTGTTCTCCTTAATTAGGTGAACTGTTATAGTATTCTTGTAAAGCAGAATTTATTTTGAAATCATTACATAAAAAAAAATTCTTTCATTTTTATAATATTAAGACGATGAATGACAGTTTATCAATTAAGGATATCCACTTTTATTCATGTATAATCTGGATTATTCCAGCTGAACTCAAAATCATAAAAAAATTAAACGCTCATTTGGCTACCTGTACAGTTTCGAATTAATGACGTAAACCCCTTCATCGTAAATCAGTCTATTGTACTGATGACAGTTGTTTATCATATTAATGCCTATATAATTAATCGTATAGTAAATTCATTGCTAGAAAAGCACACAGCTGAGGATATCTTTCATACAGGTGTATTGAAAAACCACTTAGAACTAGTTAAGCGTAAATAGAATGAGTAATAAAAGTGGTTCTCATGCGGAAAAAGGTGAAAATATTGAGTGGATGTAAATATAATTGAGATGAATGTTTGACTCAACGACTTTCTAGTATAAATAGGCATAGTGTGAATCATTTGCACCAGGTTCAAAATCTTAAATAGGATGATTTGTGCATGTTGTGAATACATTTGTGACAGAAGTAAATAATTTTTTTTTTTATCAAGAGAGTAGTAGGCATTCCCAAAACAAAATGCTTTAGTGTGAAAAAAAAAATCAGGAAACCACATCGGTGAATTCGTAAGGGAGTATTGTGATCCCCATCTCGACCGGTAACGCCCTACCTAAGCCTTCTGTAGTGATAGGCTAAAGAGGACTGCTTAGTTAAACTTGTAGGGTACCCTTTTGCAATAGATGTTGGTTCGAAACACGATCCTCTCTTTCTCAATCAATTCTCGTCATAACCGATTAGAGTTCTTTATTTTCTGCCTTCCAATGGCATCCCCATATGAGAGGGAAATTCTCGTAGAAACGTAACACAAACAAAACACATTTAGAAATGGAGACATCCCTGCTTTTACAACTAACTTTTTTTTTCAAATTTATTATTTATTGTTAATTTTATATAGTTCTGGAGATAAAGATAATATCTTATCCATTTTGAAAAAAAAAATTAAAAAAAAAATTCTTGATTGCCCATCCTATATCAATATGAAGTATTTCAAGCAATTCCAGATCTCTTTTAACTCCTCTATTACATCAAGTATCTGCCCAGGCGCCAACTATTTTGTTTGACCTCGCATCGTCTTTTGGTTTGATGCCCCCTATAATTATGAAAATTGTATATTTTTGAAATCTATGTCAGGGGTCTTTATAGATATATGTAGATTTATGTACCGGGTAATATTTTATTCGGAATACATTACTGTGGGTTAATTGGTATGAGAATGTACAAATCATTCTCATAATTTTACAGAAGGGCTCTATATTCAGTAGGAAAATAAATATATAAATAAACTTATTTAACTTACCATAGCCAAACGACAGAACAACTCCATGGATAAATACTAAAATCCTAAAAACGGCATCACAAACAGAATCCATTACATTTGCTATCCAGAACGAAATGTATTATCGGGAAGTCAACGAATGTATTTTAAGTATAATTTTAATATGGAAGACCATTTTTGCTAAAGATGTACAAAAATACTTACCCGTGTTCGAATGAAAAAAAGAGAATCGTCTGCTTATTTATTTTTCAAATGAGTGATAGGAAGAAAACACAAGCAAGGAATTAAGCAGAGAATGGTCACTTATTTCAAATGGGTGCCCTTTAACCATTTCGAAACCAGGGTGATAATTTTTGAGTCCTTAAGATACATTACATTTACATAATGTTTGTGCAACAAGAATCATTTTTCAAATTAAATTATTGTTGTAGCTTTTGTATCTTCCAATGAGAATTATAAAAACTTCTTTTCTTTACATTTCAATAAACCACTCTAACCCCCTAATAAGGCAATGAACAACAAGAAAAAAGCTGTCGATGTGACAGCAAGCCCGAGCTTCTTTGTGTGAACAAATTGGTACATCTATTTTTCATTTGAATAATCAATTTTTCCATTGGCAAATGTTGTTTCCTTTTGTCGTGAAAGTTTTCTGGGCAAAAGGGGTACAGTACCCTTTTGGCATCCGACCACCTGCCCGCCATTTTCACCATTTGAATATTAGGATTTTCCTTCTGAATTCCCGGTTAAAATTTCTTCAACGTTGTATACTTATATGTCCTTCATACTTCTTGTATCAAATACCACCTTTTACGCCCCACTACTAAATGGGACATAAATTGGATTGAAATAAGTTTATAAGATCAGTGAAAGACACAAAAGATGATAACCCAAAGGAACGTGATACGCGAAAACTTTAAATAAGATATAAACGTTACACATGAAATGTGTCATATAATGACTGAAATCAGTAAAAATGGTAAGTGCGAGAATGGTAATTGAACGGTAGGAGGTAAGTTTTTTTTTAAATTCCTTGCTGTGTGACTGCCATACCAGACAGTATTTAAACGGTATACATTTGGTTGAACTACTAAAAGTAATTCTGAACAAATTTTTCTACTGATAGATACATGTGTTGCAGTTTTGATATTTTATTTAAATATCCCTGGTTTCGTAAATTATATATAACCAGTTTTTGCTTGTATTTAAGGATATCCGATCCTCAGCTAGGAACGACTTTCATTTAGAATGAGGTACAAATGTTTATTAGCATGATATGAAATTATAATTGATCTATGATGTTGCAATGGTAACACAAAATGTATTATATAAGGCCGTGCAAAGTTAATTCTATGTTTAACGTCACCGGCGCGCATAGGTTTCAGAGAAATTAGCACTTTGAAAAAATAAACTGGTATTTTTTAAAGATTGAATTCCGCTTAACTTTTAACTTTAGCAACTGAAAACTGCATTTCATAGAAATAAACATTATTCCTGGCCTTGTGTGAGGCATATTTGAGATGCATGAGTCTATCAGTTATACTGACAGATTTAACTAGATGCTGTCATGAGACAGTAATACCCGCACTATGGTGTTTGCCTCTAAATGCACACTCCTTCATATTGGGCTTACCAAGGAAAAAGACAAAATAATTCTATAATTTACACAGTACATGTACATGAATTCGTCAATTCGAGCATAAAATGCTCAGGTGACCACGTGAGCTTCTTATTGGTATTTCCTTTACTTAATTCATTACCAGTCTGAAATAGCAGAATTTAATTAATGATGTAAATTAGGTTTTGATAAAAGGGGGGTATAAATTTTTGGCCCATAATTGGAATTTTTAAATTTATTTTCTCAATCACAAATAATATTATTTTAGTAATAGCGTTTTTGATGAATTTATCAAAATGTGCAAACTTTTTATTTAGTATTTGATTAGGCAAAAACCTCCTTGAAAAGCCATACCCAATCAATTTTGTCACCCCACCCCCCCCAAACATACACACACACACACAAATTGCCTGTTTTTGGAAATAGGCCTAGATGGCAAAGTTAAGTTAAAACATCGTTTGTTATGATAATTTAAAATTTGTTCTTATTCTGTACATGTGAGTGAACACCTTTTGAAAATTTCTACATCACATTGGGCTTGCGTCACCCTACTAGCACTAGTTTTACCGGTATCATTGCACATGGTGCAGTGTGGTGTAAACATCATTACATGTATATCAGTAGAAATTAATTCATTTTGTGTTTTAATTGGATTATATTTCATAAAGTTGACAGGACCTATGACAGTCGGTAAGTACAAGTTTAAGTATTGATTGGTATTAAGTATTGATTAAGTATATAGTCCTATTTAAATAACTCTGCAAATTCCGGGGGGGGGGGGTAAAATAACCGAAATGCAAATGGCTAAGTAAAATTTAAATAACTCTGCAAATTCCGGGGGGGGGGGGGTAAAATAACCGAAATGCAAATGGCTAAGTAAATAGTCCTATTTAAATAACTCTGCAAATTCCGGGGGGGGGGGGGTGGGGGTAAAATAACCGAAATGCAAATGGCTAAGTAAAATTTAAATAACTCTGCAAATTCCGGGGGGGGGGGGGGTAAAATAACCGAAATGCAAATGGCCAAAATGCAAATGGCTAAGTAAAATTTAAATAACTCTGCAAATTCCGGGGGGGGGGGGGGTAAATAACCGAAATGCAAATGGCTAAGTAAATAGTCCTATTTAAATAACTCTGCAAATTCCGGGGGGGGGGGGGTAAAATAACCGAAATGCAAATGGCTAAGTAAAATTTAAATAACTCTGCAAATTCCGGGGGGGGGGGGGTAAAATAACCGAAATGTAAATGGCTAAGTAAAAGTTTAAAAAGGATCAAAGGATCAAAGATCATCGGATGCCACAATAGACGAATTTCACATTCTGAAGAGTTATCTCCCGTTGTCGACATTACATTCAGTTACAGGCACAGATCCAGGAATTTTTTCCAGGAAAAAAAACAAAACAAACAAACAAAATAAACACAATGATGGTGGGGTCCATATTTTTAAAGGGGGGAGGGCATCCAAAGTCATTTTTTATTTGCTCCTGAAAATCAGTATATAGTCCTATTTAAATAACTCTGCAAATTCCGGGGAGGGGGGGGGGATCCAATCTCCCTAGCCGCTCTCTGTCCCTGAAATGACAAATGATCATCTGACTTCAAAATAATAGAAAACTTTTC